TTTGTGTAAATTAAAAAGGAGCTAGAAATTTAAGCAAAATCAGTAATTACTTTTAATCATCCCTTTTATGAAATTCACAAATTTTATCAACTTTTCGACCATATATTTTATCAATTTTTGTCAAAAACCACTAATTCGATTTACGTGTAATATTATTTTCAAGGGAATTGAATTGAATTGAAAACAAATTCCAGGAAATAGAATTGTTTAGAAATTGTTTTCCTGAAAATTATAAATTATTGTGTTTGATTGAGATAATTTTTCATGTGGAAAATGTTGAAATAAAAGTATTTTTTATGTCCGTTTGACTTTGTTTTACATGAAAATTATCAATTAAAGAGATAGATTTTACTGGTATTGGAGATAAAGTTTGTTTCCATTGCCAACACATAAAAAAAAAGCAAAAATTTCAAAAAAATTATCCATCTTTTGATGTTCGTTTGACTTTGTTTTACATGAAAATTGCTATTTAAAGGAAAATATATTTTTACAATAATTTTTATAATTTATTTTCATTGTAAAAAAAAAATCGAAAAAAAATTTAAAAAAAAAGTGCTACAGTAACCGAGAATTTCAATTCTCACCAAATGGTGAGAATTGGAATTCAAGGAAAATATGGAGATTAGCTTAGGTGACATAAAAGGCGAAATTCGAATTTTTGAAAAATTTTGCCAATCAAACAATAAAAAATTAGAAAAATGAAATTTAATTTTCATTTTACATGAAATTGGGGTGCAATCAAACATAGCCTAAAAGATAATTGATCAAAAATCTAGTAGGCGAATGTTGTATAACTACATTTATAATCTTGAAATTAACATGCTCAGTCAAATGTATTGAGTAGTCTTGATTCTTTGTTGTCGGTGTCTTCATAGAGAGAATCTTTGTCAGCGATGGCCATATATTTTCTTTCAATCCTTTCTTTATACAGATTGTCTTTTACTTAGGACAAAAAAAGGAGGAAAACAAACAGTAGGGATTTTGGAGGGGAAGTGGAGATAGTGATTTGATAATTTTACCCTTTATTTATTTGTCAAGTTGAGTTAAACTTTTAATTTTTGTGTTGACTAACGGATTAATGTACGGATTTTGTCCAGTGTCCTCCGACTTTAATCAACGTGAAAGGTTGGGGACTGTGAATGCAAACATAAAAAGTTGGAATTAATTTGCAACAAATTGAAAAGTTTAAAGCCTCCGCTGTAATTTTTCCTTTCGAAATATGGTATTTTCCCAACAACGGGGAGTATCGAGTGGGAGATTCATTCTATTTCTACTAAAACAACTCTTAAAATTGTATGCTTGAATTCTCCCAAAATTTCAACTCCCGCGACCACTTTCCCTCCCTGTTCTCGGCCAATTTTTGGCATTTTTTCCCCAATTAACCAAAACCCTAGTCCTCTAGGATTTTCGCTTTTTGTTTCTGGATCTCTTAACTGGAAGAA